TAAATTCACTGGGAACACAGAGAGATTTACTTTCTGGACCTGCAGCAATCTTTCTGAGTCAGGACTAAGGCCCAGTACCTTGCACTATGAGGAATCTCAGACTGTTAGCTGCTTATTTTGTACCTGTCCCAAGAATAAAGAGCATTAGAACCCAGACACACTTTTCAAGTAGCAGATTTGCTTCACTGCTTAGAAAGAGAAAATAAATTATTTCAAAACTGGATGACCTCAGGCTGCACACCAGAACAGAATAACCCTTCCCCTCCAAGACCAATTTATTAAAACATCTGGTTTACACAGCACCTTAATCCTGCTAAAATACAAACTGCTTGTTTAAGAAATTAACATTTTTTAAAAGCCTGGAAACTGTATTCAGGTAATCTATCATATGACATCTGATTAGAACAAGAACATTATTTGCTACTAATGAAAAAGCATACTCAAATTTCAAAGCAGGACAGATGTGGGAAGATCCAAGGCAGAAGAGAGCAGGTGGCAGGCTAGCTGGCAATTACAAAATGTAGAAGGTTATAAAATGACTAAGACTTAATTGTCAAATCTATACATTTTAAGCTAACAAAATAGTAACTTAGTATTTGTATAGCATTTTGCCTTTTAATGTTAGAAAGCAGAGAGATCTCTTCTGTACATTTAAAGTTACATCACTGTTCCACAGGCAGCTTTCAAATAAAATCTTCATGATTAAAAAGCTCACTCAGTTATCAATATCCTATACCTGAAACACAGTGCTTTGATGGCGCAGGCTGAGAAAAACAAAAGCACAAAATGCATTTTAACCACAAAGGAGCTCAGCACCAGAATGATCACAGTCTACAGTTCAATAATTAAGAAAAAATGGTAACTATCATGTTTCCAGCATCTACAATAACCTGTGTAAAAACAATGCTTATGTATAAAAGTATACTTACATATTATACAGAGGTATACTTAATAAAAGTATACTCATGTATACTTTTATTTCATAGTATTTTTAATAATCTTAATTTAAAGGTTAACAAGGTTAACAGTATATCAAAGAGATGTATGCTCTGTGCCCAAGAAGCTTTTTACCACTCCTGCTTTAGTAAAATCAAGCCAGGTGCTCCTGCAATACCAAAAACACCCAAATGCCAAGAAGTGCCGCAGATAACATGAAAAACAAAAATAATGAGAAACATCATTTTCTATCCATACATCTGGTCCAGCTGGAAGGGATCAGGCACTTCTTTCTCCACCTTTATCTCCTCTTTACAGAGCAAGGAAATATCAAAAGGTCAAAAGTATTCACCAGTCATTGAGACAGAACTTGGAACTCTATCTTCATAGATGAATGAGTGAAATAATGATATGAAATGGAGATTCCAGTGGAGAGGATGAGGAATTTGTAAACCAAAAGGAATTATAATCCTGGTCCCACTGAAGACAATGATAAATCTCCCAATGATTTCTTAAGGGCCAAGATTTTCATGCAACAACAATATTCTTCACATAAGTAATGAACTCTCATGAAAACAACATGTGTTACAAATCACATAAAATCAAATCAGAACAAAGTATGAGGGAAATCCCACTGAGAGAAATGATTCATCAATAGCATGATTCCAAAAACAGTGAAGACATATATTCTTGCATGAATATTTGCAGAAATGACTGAACAAGATCAGATGTAACAAAATATGTCCTCTAAGAAGTTCCTTTTCTTTCTTCCAGCTCCACATAATAGGTTGCTCAACAAGAAGTAAAGTGTTAAATGATTACTAAGTAGTAGCTTAACAACATATTCAGGCTACAAAACACTACATCCCAAAGGAAGTCCATTCCCTCTAAATTTTACCTTAATTACTAATAAGCATACATAGAACAAGTTTTCCTGTCACCTTTTAGTAAGACACAGGAAAAAAAAATCAGAAACTTGAGCTAAATAAATTAAGATCTCAACAACCTGTGAGATCTTGCAGATCTTCTTTTCAGAAACAGAGCATCAATATTCAGTGACAAAACAAAAATAATCTTAGAAATAAACTTTTTCTTTGCTTGTTTTGCTTTGAAGAGTTTTGTTGATCAGCATGAGAAGAAGCTTTTAGCAATTCCTCCCAGGTCCTTAGTCACATGCAGTTTGCATGAATAGTATTGGCAGCACTATATGAATATGCAACTTAGTCCTAGGTAAGTATATGATTTCCTATATAGCAAAAAAAAAAACCCCTCTCTAGAGTCCCATTACTGCATTTCCATGCTCTCAAATACAACTGAGTCAGCTCAATTTCCGACAGATCGAGTTCAAGAAGAGGATAGATGCAAAGGTTTCATAAATGATATAGGTAACATGCTCTTGGTATGTGCCTCCATCTACATGTGTTCCCAAATCTGAATTTAAGCATCCTGGCTGCAAAGCAAATTGAGTATTTCTTTCTCTCTGAATTTATGAAAGGTAGTAAGTCATAATAAATTATTATAATTTTACCTAAAACAAAACTGGAATGGACTGGAAAAGCATTGTATCCCATTATTTCCACACAGCCCCCCTTTTCTGTGATATAAAATTCCAATTATTTAACCTTCCCTCATAAATATGATTTTCTAAATTTATTTTTACTGTTGACCTAGTGTTTCTGTTTTCTTTTTTTTTTTGAAGTAAAATTAAAACTATACAAAAAAGTTACTAAAGGTGGATGGATCACTGCTACACAGAAATACAGAAAAATTATCTCTCTTTTCTGCAATACTGATATTATCTGACTATCTCCCAAGAGCTTGCTTTCTTTTATTATTTTATTTAATTTTCGGTTCTAACTAAAGAATAACAACAAGGCAAGTTTAGCTCCTTATGGACATAAGCTCAGTGTATTCCGAAATTTGGGCAGAAGAATAACTTTATAATGCTATAAGCATGTCTTCAACCAGCTATGTAACCTTATGAAAAAAAAAAGGGAAAACATTCCTCTGTCTCCTTCCCTTGGTAGATCATTTTACAATGCCTAAGAAGGAAGCTCTTCTCTACAGCCTATTCTTTATCTACTTCAATACTTAAATCTTATGGAAGCAGTAATCAAAAAGAATAAATCACAAGGAAAAAAAGAACTCAAAGTATTCAAAAAGAATAAATCAAACTAAGAACTGAACATAATTTAATCTTTCTATCAAATTAGGCACTTTGCACAGTACAGCATTTCCAAAACACTAGTTCATGGATTATAGGCACCTCTAAAGTACAAATATCAACAGTGCAGAGCAGTTGATGAGCAATATTAAATTACTGTAATTGTCTACACTTGGGATGCCAATAGCAGGGAAAACAACTCCACTTCTTACTCCTGGAAGGATGACAAAGCAATGTACTACTTTATCAAGCTACTTTGATGTTGTCTGGTACATAGTCCACAACCCTGAGCTACCACAGAAGACAAAGGAAAAAAGAAGCTAAGAGGCTTCCCTATGAGTGAAGAATGACAATCCCTAGAAAAGATCTGATAGCAAAATGATTTATGACAGAGTAACTCTTTCCTAAAGCAAGCAGAACTGAGAGGTGGACATTACACACCACTTGGTTTCACATCCGTGCTAGAGGCAGAAAAGGGATGCTGACCCAGTTCACATCCATGATGTGATGAACAATATGTATTTCTAAAATGGAAAATGTGTCAAGTGACAGGTAGGAACAATTCACTTGTGGTACAATCATTTTCCCAGTGAGCTTATTACAAATCATATGACACAGCCCTTCTCCTATTAGATACAAATGGCTCCTATAGGCTTCTGGGGCCAGTGACATACATTCTCCATTTCTTTTTGCAGTTCATAAATCTGTTTTCCTCCACAACTGTATTAAATGTTGATGTTGTATTGTGATAACATATTAGCTGTCAAGCAAAGGAAGCAGAACTCATCACAGTCTGTTCAGGTCAAACACTTTACCTAGACAGCATACCTACATGCTGCCTGGTTGTCCCTAAAATGTTAACCCTTTTTGTAACAGAATTATTTTTAAAAGACACTAATTTATCAAAGCAGTAAGATGCAATACTAAACATCCAGGTGAAAGTGTAGAAAACCAAGTCAGTTCTGTTGAAGACATCTGAAGGACCAGTTCTCCTAGCAGTGTCTCTGAAGACAACTTCTATATATTTTGTGAGGAGGTATAAATTTATAGATGGAATAGGCCCAGTCTTATTAAACTTCTGCATTTTCATGGAAATTCAAAGACAGACTCAGTTTCTGTCAGAGGGGAAGATGAGTTTGGGGATCTAGATGATCAAGCATGCAACCAACCCAACTTTGCTTCAAACACACCCTTCTCACCTGTTTTCCAAGGAAGGCAGATTTTCAAGACAGCAGACTAATTTACAATGTTCATTCTCAGTTCCAACGTGAAAATTATACATTTTCAAACTAGTATGATTCATAAAATTTACCAGAACACAATTGTACTAACTGCCACTAAGAACCCTTATCTCTGAGTAGAAAGAACCTTAACAATAGGCCTAAACTGAATTGTTGGAACTGTTCCATGCATCAGATAAAATGCACAAAGTATGTAATCAGTTCTACAATCACAAGACAATATATCTGCATACTACAAAGAGAAGGCTTCCTCTTTTTCCTTCGCTTTTCTTTTAACAGAGAAAAATTTATTCTTGCAAGCAAAATGTTATTAACTGCAATTAAGAGAAAGAACCAAGCCTCATACAACTTGACAGCATTATGTTCTACTAATTTCTAGTGAACAAGAATAGTATTTATATTAGAAACCATAGAGAGCTTTCATATGGCTTAATCAACGACATCTTATTATAACAACATTTCCAGTATCATTACACACATTACACTGAACATTAATATAATTCTTTCTGTTATATCTCTGTCAGACAATTAATATGTCTTTACACTTTAATGGTATATGAATATGGTGGTGATATACACACAATATTCTGTTTTCCTGAGAGGCAAGTAAATGAATCAACATTTAAAATATATAACAACATGAAAGATTTTGAATCTACCTTCTTTTTCTGGGTTCTGTTCCTGCCTCCCAACCAATCATCCATCTGCTCCTCAATCTCTTCAATTGAAGCTCCATGATCATAAGATGGTACATACACATTGGATTCCAGGGCTGTGTATACAGGGAATTCCAATTTTGGTTTCTTGACTTTAGGCTTCTTCTCTTCTACACAAAAGTAAAAAAGAAGAAAAAGTAATGCTACTAGTACTGCAGGCATGCATAATTCAGGAGGAGGTTTAGCTCCCCATCTCTTAATCCTATCTTAAAATTTCCACAGCGGAAGTGCCTTTAATTTCTTTGTTAAAAAGAGAATCAGACTTTTGCATAATAATTTTCTTTTTATTAAAAGTAAATAGCAATGCACCCACTTAGCTCCTCGTCCATCTGAACTATTCTGGAAAGGGCCAGTTGAGTTAGCTCTTGTTACTGCTACACCACTTGGCAAAGAAGATTAGTACAGGCAAAAGCACAGGAGCTGTTAAAAATTCTGAAGTCCAGCCAGCTTCAGAGAAATTTGCAATGGCAGAAAGGTGAATTTTAGACAATTCTGTACTACTTTATGGTCAGCTATGCTAAGTAGAAGCTTCTGAGCCAAGAGATGGCTTCTCTATTGTCAGATTTCTCCAACCACAAACAGCTCTGTTCTAGCACTTACACATTTAGGAAGATTTAGATGTTGGACCTCATTTCTAACACTGATTACTGTTTTCTGCTCTCTCTGCCCTTCAGACGGTATTAAATGGGAGCAGCAAACTCATAGGAAAGAAAGGAAGGAAGAATCACAATACCTAAACCTCAGCATCTAAACATGCCTCCACTGTATAAGACGATCTCAAAGGTAAGATTTAAAATGGACAATTGACAGAACTTTAGAAAAAACAAAATGAGGAGCAGAAAGACTCTTCAACACCCAGAAAGCATCCAGAAACCTCAGGTGTGCCCAGTGGCACTCTTCTGGCTTTTCCTCTTGCTGTAGTCACAATGACTAAATGTTCCTAAACTGAAAGAGCTGATCTAATACTCCACTGCAACCAAGAAGTTCTACACTCGACTCCACCTTTTCACTCTCCACTGCATATCTTTGTGGTCCTCTCTCTCCTATTGTTTCTACAAGCACACAATCACTCAAACTACTTCAATTTACTAAGCAAGTAGAAAACTGTTCTTAATACTCACACAAATGGAAAAAAATTCAAGTCATTTAAAGGTGGTGAGCAAGGAAAAGAAGAACCACACTTGTCTGATCAGCTTACCTGCCTTTGCAATCATGCCCTAATTCTTAAGAGGAGAAAAATCTGATTTTCATGGAACCTCTAAAAAATTCCTAAAGAGGACAGAGGACAGTTCCCTACAGACTCTGAAAGAGAATTTATTTTCCTAATGGTATTTGTGCAGAAACAGCACAGCGAAAAGACTCCGCAGATTTGACAAACCCTAGGAACTGAGTACTTAAGAAAGCAATAAAGGGATGGAAAACTGTTCCAAGTCCAAAATGAACAGAAAAGTCACACAGATCTTGAAAGTTAACAGGATGACAAATGAGCTTTTAAACTTTTCACTGTTCAGAGTTTCACTTTACGTTGTTCAGAGACCTGTTTTTACACAGAATCTTTAACTTTACCTGTCAAATTTCAATAAATGAAATATTAAGTTAAAATTTGGATGTGGATTTCTTTTAGTATCCTTCTGTAGGGATGTGTAGAAAATACAATGAAATGACAGATACTCCTGAAAATTAAGTGAAAATTCGAAAGTGTAATACCACATTTGTCTCACTTATGCAGACATTAGTAACAGGTTTTTGTTAATTTCAAAAGGTAAATTTTATAATCAAATCACATATATTAAATATTATCTCATTTTACTCCAAAATTGCCACATATAACAGCTTCTAGAATCTGTTAAGATTTGTACAGATAAGTAACAATAGCTTTACCAGCTCTTCATTGCAAACACTGATACCAGTAAAAACATTTTAGGAAGTTAATTTCAATGACAATTTTTACCACCTTATTTCAATCCCTTGGAATAATCAAGCACATTCTGTGTGTGTTCACTTGGAATTACTTAACAGTGGAGACACCCCATAACAGCTGTTTTTTTCTGAATCTTGCACCCCATCAGCTACTGCTTATTAATTTTTCCCATCAAAATATGTGAATAGTTAAAGCCTGAATGGTTCTAACCAACAATTAAAAATGAAAAGCATAGCCTGGAATAGGTCATCTAGGCTCTTGCTGTAGTTTTGGAAGTAATTCTGCAACTATTTCCAGGGGACACTGCGCTCCACTTTAAAATGAGGTATCAAAGACAGTATCTAGGCTTTCTTCAGGCAGTTAAGTGACAGAGGAAGACCTAACATTGATAAGACACCCTGCTGTTTGCTGACTATCAAAGGAATGAGAAATCCCACCTAGAGAAGATGGCTGTACAACCTCAAACAAGCACTCAACCAGAATTAAAAAAACCTTATCTCTACTGTCTCCCATGTGTATACAAAAAGATGAAGGCGTTTAGCATACCTCTTGATACCACAATGGCTGTCAAATTGAATTAAAAAAAATAAAATAAAAAAAAATTGAAGTCACAGCACCTTTGACATAGGGCTCCCAATAACCTACCAAGAACAGTTTCACCTCAGAATTTTCAAAGCCACTTTTTAGAACAGGGAAGCACATAAAAGCAGTTTAATGGTAATATCTTAAAGTATTTTAGAGCAATTTCAGAAGTTATGTTTACTGCTATGAAGCCTCAAATTAAGGCAGCCAAGCAATGGTGCTCTTTCAGGTGAATATTGAGAAAGCAAAATAGACCACTGGAATTATTTCCCCCAAACAACAGAAGTCCACAGGAGATAATCAGGAAGAAAACCTCCCTCCTTCATGTTATCTTTTCACTATCAGGAATTCAATTGGCAGCCTAAAAGACAACTCTGACCTGACCAGGCACTTTGAGCTGAAGAGAATATGGATCAGGTTTTCCAAATACTGGATGATACCTAGAGAGCTGAATCCTGTATCTGCTAAGGCTTGACAGACAGCCAGGAAGTTGGGGCAGCTGCCCAGCACCATGACCTAAAGTAAGGATGTGTTTGATCATGCTGACAGTAGTGACAACTGCAGCTGTGATTCAGAGTTTTGAAACACAAGTTCCTTTAATACTTTCTAATGGTGCTGGTTCAGGCCATCTACTATAAAAGAACAGATTTTTAAAAGACACTTTTCTCCTCCAGTCTCAAATATTGTTTTAATATTGTTATACAAACCTAACTGCAGGAAAAGCATACAGAAGAGATTTCCTAGGTTCCTCTCAGTTCTGCAACAGCGAGCTCAGTATCTGCTGGAGACCCAGTCAGACCACAGTGCCCCATGTGGACACCAACACCCAGCAAACCTTCGCAATAACCAGTTACTGGCACTCATACAACTAAACACAGGGGAGAGAAAACAATCTTGGTAAAACAGAGCCTGACTACAAGAGGGTAAACTAAAAGCTTACTCCCATTACTATTTTCTGGGAAGATAATGTACTTTAATTGCTAAACTACAGTGTAGTAACTTTTTTAGCCTATTAAATAGAATTAAGAAAACAAATGGAATTTGGTTTTTGTGCATATGGAACTCAAGATCATAAGCACAATGGAAATTGATATCTACCAATCCAAAGTCAACTGATCAGTATTTTACATGACTCATAACTTTTAGAGAGTTCTAGTCTTTAGCAGAATTGTTTGATATCTACCAATACAAAGTCAAATGATCAGTATTTTACATGACTCATAACTTTTAGAGAGTTCTAGTCTTTAGCAGAAGGAATTTTGTTTTATCACTTCCTGAATTCATATTGCAAAACCTCTACCTTTCTACAAGTATTTTCCACCTTTAGAATTATCAAGTTCTTTATCAGAAGAATAAAATTGAATGTGTATTTAACAACTTAAGAATTAAAAAAGGAGCGATGCAGTTATATCCCCTATGTTTGAACAGCATATAAACACACCTATCACTGGAATACCCAGACATTACAGATAACAATAGCTAACTCCCCTAAAGTACAACATTTTGTGTTTCTAAACACCTCCAATACTATTCTTCAACTGGTTCTACATTTTACTAGTTTATGGTGCCATGATCTGAGTTTTGAAGTCTAATGAATTATTTGCACATAATTAGACACTTGCTCATTAGTTCTTTCACCTTGTTACTACATTAATTTTACCATTAAATAAAATTTAATTAATAGTATCTAGCTAATGGTTATTTGCTTTATCATTGGCAGAATTAATAGTATCTAGCTAATGGTTATTTGCTTTAAGATATATCATGCATTAAGATACTGTCAGATAAGGAATCTGCTAGACTTTATGGATCAAGTGCCATGTAATAAAACAGTGAAGCTTTTTCCATAACAAGTATCAGAGGTCCTGCATTTTGAAATTTTCAGAAAAAATCATATTGATTTTACACGTTAGCTGGTCTAAACATAAAAAACTCAGAGAATTTTCCACAAAAAAGCACAACTGCTTCATAGAGGAAGAAATAAAACCAAAACTAAGCAGTGAACTTCTGCAAAGAAATTTTGACATATAAAGTTATAGTTCTCTCTCTGCAAATCTTCTAAGCTCTAAGCATGAGAAAGAAGTCACAGAAAATACAGTCAAAAAAAACAGTGATATCTTGAAAATCAAAGGGACAAATTGCCTGATAACTCGTTCATTAGTAAGCAAGAAATATGACCACACAAAAAGGTAGACAGCAAACATCTTTTGGGCAAATCAGTAATATACTGCAGTAAGATCTCTTTTTTCAACACAGTTCACTTACCTATGTAACTATGAAAGACTACCAAAGCATTTGTAGCATTAAAATTTGTTGAAAACATGACAAGAGAAAAATTCACTTACACATACAGTAACAGAGTCAGACAGAACACAAAGAACCCAGAAGTCTGGAAAAAAATTGTACTAAGGTTTGGACAGTCTATTGAGAAAATGGAGCAAATTATGTTCAACATCAATGAAAATATGGGGCAAACACACATATGCTTAAAAAAAGGTACACATTTCAATACTCAAAGTCAATGGGATTATATGAATATATCAAGAATTAGAGACAGATATATACATCTTCTGTACTGGGACATGCCAGCTAGTTTATTTTTGAGCAAACTGACTAAAGACATGCTCAAGGATGAATGCACCCCCAGCTACAAAAAACTTCTCACAAGCTACAGCTTTTGATGACTTTCATATTTTTTTCGGACTATCTACCCTTCCCAAGACTTCCAATTCCCCCAAAATACAAAAGGTTTAGAAACAAGGCTTCAATATTTGAGCATTAATTTCCCTTCCAACAAACACATAATGAAGCATGCATGCCTCTCTCAAATGAGCCTCATGCACTGCATTTTTGTGGAATATTTTCCATAAAGTCTACAGCAAGTTTTGTGAGGAGAGGTATCATACAAGCCTAGTTGAAACAACTGGGAAAAATACACAAGCTTGAAAGTTCAAAATTCTTTCAGCGGGCCTGCCAAAACAATCAGTGAAATGGATGATACATAGTTTGCCATAATTAGGCTTCGGAGGTAACAATTAAGTGATCAGAACATTCACACCCACACCAACCAAAAAAGCGTGCATTGCATAAATTAATTTTCTCTGAACCTGCCTGTCAGCAAATCATTACTGAGCAGCCATATCAACACAGCATTTTGGCAGAGATTAATACTAAACACAATTACCCAATATATTTATCAATTATTTGGAAGGAAAGTAACCTTCAGCAGAGTGCTAGATTCTATAAATTTATTCCAAATGGTTTGCAGTGAAGAGGAAAGCACAAGAAGAAGGAGGAACATGGACTGGCTGGTAGTCTGGGACCAATCAAATCAAAAGTGCCTTTGAAAATTACTCAGTTAATGCCCTTATGCCACATCTGCACTTAGAGGGGACCTCGGGCAAGGAACCTTTGATATCAGGGCTTGCAGTTACAGTGGACAAGCAATCCAAAATGAGCTATCAGAGCAATTGGAACTAATGTAACCTATGATTCTGCAATAACAACGATTCTGCAATAACCACGAAGAAACATGATTTTATAATCAGAAGATAACAAACTTTAGAACATTATATACAAACCCAGGGCCCAATACTTCTAAATACATTGCAAAACTAAATTGAGTACAGAAGATCCACAGAAATTAAGGGATCAAGAAAGGATTTGTGTTAAGAAAACCTGCAGATAAATAAAATTTTTTTTAGGCACAGACATGCTAATAATGAACAAGTGAAAGCCAAACCTGGAGAAATTCATACTGAAATTAGGATATAACTACACAATAGCAAAATTAATTATCTGAACAAACTATGAAGAACAGAAGGCATCTCCAGACTGATCAATGCTGTATCTTGAGTAATAAGGAGGTGCAAAGCTGAAGTGCACCACTGGTACAAGTCAAGTAAGACAAGTCAGGAGAATCAGTATTTTCCACTGATTTTCACCTGTAAGAGTCTGAAATAAACCCACTGTACTGAATGACCTAATGATGTCTCCTATCCCTAGGTTTCATGAAACAATAAGAAAACCTCTGCAAGCAGCATGCTGTATTCCAAGCAGTCAGGAAAGGACGACCAACCAAGCCTAACCAAATGTGATCAAATGCATTAAATGTTTCACTACAGCTCTGGATGTTTGGTGGCAGGCACTTGGGTAAGAGTGCTGTAAGACCCTGTGTGAGACAAACATCACATCACAAAAGCCTGACACAGAAAGGCAGCTCATCAAGCAGCCACAGGGCTCGTAATTTTATACTTCAGTTAAAGTTTGAAAGATGGGGGTAAGGAAAAAGCAGAAAACCCCACATACTATTCAACATGGTTTATAACTAGAAACAGAACAATTTCCTGCCACAGATTGTTCCAGATGCCTTGTACATCATGGCAAGAATTCTGGATTTAAAATGCAAATATATTTCCTAACTGGGATGCCAGTGAAGAGTTCACCTGCAATACTTAGCAGGCAACCTTTTTTTAAAACTACATATTTTAAAAATAAATTTAAGTTTTCATACTGAATGTCAGGGAAAACAACCTTAGAAGAACAGAAAGTAAGAGAACTGCCAAGGCTAAGTATAAAGAAAGAAAAATAGATGTGTTTCCCCCAAAATGGATATCACTGAAAGAAGTACTCCACGCAAAAACAGCTTGAGAGCTGCTAGAATTTGTCCTGATAGCCACTCAAACCTTGCCATTTAAATTTAAAAACTGAGTGATCTGTCCTGATTGTAGGCCTATGTCATCTTAATTTAATAATGCCCATTCAGTGCAGCTAACACCTAGTGTACTTTGCATCCCATGACTACAAGGAACAGGGCTATGCATTGGGAAAGAACCATTCCCTGATGCAGGGAACACACACGTGACATGACAGAAGAGGGAGAAGTTGGAAGAAAGTTTATTAATTAAAGCACTCCCATTTAAAAATAAAACTTTGTGTTCTTACATCTAAATGTCAAAAACGCATCAGAAAATGTAACGCAAACTTTTTCTACTTTTGTGCCTAAAATACACAGCTCTCTGTAATTCCTACAAAAACCTACTTCCTAGAAAGCTAAGATTGTATTATAAGTTGCTCTATTTTTGTAAGGCAAAGTTGCTATATTTTATTAAGGCGGCACTGCCAGTTTTGGATGGATTGATAAGAAACACTGCAAAAGTGCCAGAAAAATAAATCAAAAGTGCATAATATTAACTTACCAAGAAATTAAGAACCAAAAATAGAACTTTATTGACATCTCAATACTGTCCTCTCTTTCCTGTTCAGCAAACTACATTTTCCTCCTTCAGTACCTTACTCTGGTTTTAGTTCAAGCTGCCTACAGAATACTGCACAGTTTCAGCAGGAAAGCAGAGAGACAAGGGGGCAAACTAGCAATCAGGGCATGAAAAAAACAAACACTGGTAAAACAGCTATTGCTAATCAGCATGAGATATATGTTTACTCAATTAAATAGAACCTTTATTATGACCTCACATCCCAGAAATAGTGTCTAAAATTAAGAAGAATGGGGGCAAACAAAATGCACATTTGGTGATTTACAACCTTTCTATGCTAATTGTGATGTGACAATGCAGAGCAACATAATGAAATAAGCAAATTTAGCAGATGCTTTGCATGCAAGCTTCAGTTAAAAATGATAGAATTTATTTTTTTGCCTACGGTAACACGGATGCATCTCTTGTTTCTCTCTTGGGAGTCTTACTTATTAGAAAAAAAGGTAACAGACAGCTCATTCTGCTGCCCAGCTATAGAACTGCTATGACTGACCAAACAATTCCATGCCAAATCTCAAACTTTGCTAATTACAGGTGGTGATTCTCAATCCTGCTTGCTCCCTGCCAGCAAGCCTACGAGGGGAAGGCAGGATACCAGCCAGTGAGACTGGTGAGGACTGTCCCCTGCTCACACAGTGACACTGGGGCACCTGGCAGACATGGCAGTCACACTGTGGGGCACCCAGCAGCATGACAGGGGACAGGGTGGTGCTTCTGTGAGAGGTCAGGGGTGACTTGGTCGGCCACACTTGCGTCTCTCAGGGGTGGGCACTGCTACTGGAGGTAACAACAAAAGAAGTGACTCACAACAACACACCTGGCAGCAGGGAAATACTTAAAACTTCACATGTGGCCTTTCAGTGATACACACGAACATCATATGATGTTAATAACCTTACACTTTCATTTGCACTTCTGTTTTCAAAAACTAGTCCTTTTAAAGCTCACAGTAGTTCACAGGCTTCAATGAGGAACGCATGCCAGCTATTTTGAACAATGGTAATACATTACTATCTGACAATTTAACAAGTTTTTAATAACCCGAGTCAAGACCCTTTTCAAGGACCCATTTTGTGGTAGGTATCTCAAACATAATGGCAGGCCTTCCTAACAAGCATTAAATGCACTATTTTGCTAGATTTGGCCTGGGTCCATGATGCTCACTGAGATGCTGAATGTTATCCATTTTCCCAAAATAGATTCAGCTACTGATAAGTTGGGAATTATTGCTGGAACTGGATCTCTTCGCTGATTTTACAAAATTCAGCTATTTTATAAATATAAATAATGCAGCTGTATTTTAAGTAACTAAAGGCTTATGCTTACTCCAAGCTACTAAATTATCGCAAAGCACTCAATGCACTTGTCAGAATAAAGGAACTTAAAAGCATGCACTTAAGTACAGTAAATAAAGCAAACATGCACATACAAACACAGACACAAAACTGTTAAAACTGTCTACAGAAGAGGGTAGGTTTAATCATTGTCAAAAGCAAATAACTGAAAGAAGAAAAGGAAAAGTCACCTATAATTATTCTAAATGCCTTATTAAAGGAAATGTTAATTGTCTTCTCTGGTCTTTTATAAGAGTATAAAAACTTTAAAGTATTTATATGAACAATAGCACAAATCCATCCCTGAAGTCTGCATCCATCCTTTTGGAAAATCAAATCATTGTCACTTTCTATCACAAAAATCAACTCAAAATTAACAAAAGAATTATTAAACACATTATTAAAAATATTTACAAACAATAAGAATACAATAAGAATAAGAATAAAAAATGCTCAAAAACCCAAGAGGTCACTTCTGAAAATGTATAGTACATTTGAGATCTTCCCCTCCCATAAAGCAACATTTCTAGCAAGGTATGTTCTTGCTACAATCTAACTGATCACCTGAGTTGTATGTTTCTATAGGAGCACACCAGCAGCCTACTGCAAAATTAGCCATAAAATTAAAAGCTTATTTACATTTAACAGTAGCAGAGGAATATATAAAGTATGTATTTTAGAAGATTAGAAAAGTGTTTGTTCATATACATCCAACGTAGAAGGTATATTGTATTACATCTTTGTTTATTAAGACAGTGGTAAAAACTCACTCTGAAGTGTTTCAAGTTCAGCCTTAGCCAGGGCATCTTCTTTCGCCTTCATTTTTGTTTCTTTATATTCTACATATAATTGTCTGGCATCCTTTAAGAAAACGTTGCAATGGCATTAGCATCCTTATACAAACAAGTAATTGCAATGGCTCTGTTTTAAGTTCGCACTTAACCTCACAAAAAAAATAATTAAGATATATTTGTTTCCTTCAGTTACAGCAATTTTCAGTCTAAAACATAGAACTTGTGTAATAAAGGCTCAAATGCAATAGTGTTGATATTATAGACTATGATGCTCATTGACAACCTGAAAAGCAAAATGGTTAGAGAAACTACCTACAACTTTGCAAAACCATGCACCCACTTTGCTCAAATCAGCAATCTGGAAGTTGAAGGGAGAAAGATGTTTTTAATTAGAGTAGTGCGTGCAGGGACAAACAAAGGCAATTGCCAGGCAGCAATCACCTTAATGTGAACTCATTAAGGTAACACTAACTGCATGTGCCAACTTGTTCCCCTTTTTTTTTTAAAACCAACTTCTACATTGCTATTAAAGTGTTGAAAATACACTTTTTTTTCTCCAAGGATTAGATTCTAATCTGAAATCTATAAAGCAAATGTACACATAAAACTAGAAGTCCTGTCACACATACACGACAATAATGTACACCTTTCCAAAATCTGATTAATGAGATTTCTGTTGAAAGCTTTCCAATATGAACAACCAGATTGCTGAAAAGTTTCCTTATTCTCACCAGTTTAAGAGACTTCTATCCAAAAACAAGGAATCCATAATACAAATGCTGAAATAGAGAAATAGTTATTTATCTTTATCAAGCATGCAGAATGTCTATTGTATTACACAAAAAAATTACAGTATTAGATAGACCTAATCTTAGATATTTTTACCCAAAAATATTTTTTGTACTATTACACTAACAGTACCACTTTTTACAGATAAAAGGTAACTTAAATTTGAATGCAAAATGTATTGTAAAATGGCAGTAAATATTTTTTACCATTTCAACTATATTTAAACAAAACCTAGTATCATCAACATGAAAAAAGACACCTTAAGAAATCTTGAAAAGAAAAATCTGAGCTAAGCAGTCACTATCACTGACTCTAATGGTAGAAATCATCCCATTCTCCTTGCAAAGATACAACAGTCGTTCTTCATGTTACACCTGCATCTACCCTTTCACAGCTACTTGAAGGAGGCTGGAAAGCACATGTCAGGAATCGTGACCAAGCTCTGAGCAGAACTTTGTAGTGGTTTGGAGACATCTCATTGATCAGGTCAGGATTCTGACAAATTCCCACAAAAAAAATCAGTAAAGGTCCACCTCCTTCCAAAACACCTCTTCTCACTAATTTTTATTTTGCCTTTTTTTTTTTCTTTTTCTTTATCATGGGTACAGGAAATAACAAGTTTTGGGGTTTTATTTGCCAGTTTTATGTAGGAAATCTCTGCACACAAAAGTAATTTTAGAGGGTTTACATAACTTTTTGCCTCTGGAACATAACAGAAGAGACTGTTTCACATGCTAATACCTTTAGGACTGGGAAACAGGGTTTTTTAAAGTAGAGTTTTGGCTAAAAAAAGTGTAATTTACAAGAGGACCAGCATTAACAGCAGATATGTAGGCTTTGAGGAGACACATTTGAATCACAAAATTAGTATCAGCACTGGTTCTCTATTTGGTTTACCTGAAATAAGAATTCCCTACCACACTGGAAACTTTCCTTGTACTCTCAAGATTTGGCCTACTTGAAAAATTAAGAAACAGAAACAGCCATAAATGCAATAGTTCATTTCTGCTGAGTTTGAGACATTTGGGTTGCGTGGCATACACAGGACTCAGACTTATGGATATCCAAAAACCACTTTTGTTTAAGGCTATGATTTCAAAATGGCTACAATTAACTGGCATTTAAATTTAACCCATTTGACACTGAAAGCCAATATTTGATGCTAAATTCTGGTGTAAAATCCATTATTGCTTGTGGGATCTCCAGACAGCAGGCACTAGGGGGTAACTGTCAATCTCTCCAGCACGTCAATCACAGAACAATTGGAAATGTGGCTCAGATGAAAATGAGACACAATAGCTGAACAACAAAGAAAACTAGTCAGAAGCACGTAAATGAAATACGGTAGTATTGTTGCTTTACAGATATAGAAGGGATTATCACTACAAATGGAGTAATATGCAGGTAACAAAGGCAGCATCAGTCTTTTATCTTATCAGTAAGATTATTATGGCTAGTACCATAACAAAAAAAAAAGGGGAAACTACACACTTTGAAGCATACACAAATGTATACATATAAAGAAAAGCAAAGAAAAAAAAAACCAAAAAAAAGCTTAACTCAAAACGGATTTTGAAGATTTGAAAATCAAATCCTTCCCATAAAAAAATAAGAACGGCTCTACAGGTTGTAAAGAAAAATTAAAAGGCATACCTGAGTAAAGACTTTAACCACAGACACAAATTTTTTGCGTATTAGACCTTATAGGTCAAAATAAAAAAACACTGGAAAACCATTTAACATAGGAAGTTCCTTGAAGAAAAGTTCTGCCTTAATGTAAATAAGCCCCTTTCAATTCATTCTTCATTAGCTTTCGATCAGTCTAAACAGGAATATTTGTTTTCAAGAATATTCAGTTTTGGTAGTGTAAGCATTTCAAAATAGATTTATGCTCATATTTTTTACTTTTCTGAAGTGATAAATTTAAGCAGTCATTTTGTCTCAATACAAGCATTTTAGGGCCCTAAAGACACTGACAATACAGACACAGTCTCTTCAAATCTAATGTTCCTTCCCTATGATTCAGTAACAATTTTATATCTCAAAACATCAACATTTTATAGTTAATGTATACTTCACCTTCAAGACATAATAGACATAAGAAAAGTAATATTTTCGTACTTCTGTGGTGAAAAGATACAGAGAAAAGAAACAAATACAAAGCTTGGAACAGTTCTAACTAAAACTCCACCTTACCTAATCAGAAATATGTTCTCATTTGCAGGAGTTTAAAACATTTTTTAAAAAACCACCAAAACAAATACATTATTTCTTCTCACCACTAAAGCAGTATAACATGTAATTAGTTAAGCATAAAGAATAAAGAAGAGAGCTGATATATGCTGGTTTATTATATTATAAATTCAAATATATACTTTTCAAAAAGGAACAGAATGAAAAAAAGAATGTATTTGAAATGCAAAATTCTGCAATTAGTATATCTACATGATATTTAAACTGCCATATATAGGAAAATCCTGAAATTACCATCATATTTAATCACAAATAAGAATGAAGAACACTGAAAGATTCTTGAAAATATAGTTTCTCTCTTTACATCAGCATCATCTCATATTATCAAATTGAGATTGCCCAGACAAAGCTGAGCCTGAGTTACGTAGATATACAGAAATTCCTGATACTGAACTTTCAAGGCTTTCTTTCATTTGTTTGTTTTAGGGTTTGAGGTCTTGGTTGGGGTTTTAGGTGGTTTTTTTTGTTTGTTGCTTTTAAATGAAGAGATACAGCATTTATTCAAACTTTACTAATTCTGTAAGTAAAAACTTCCATTCTGAGTAAGAATCAGTCATTTTGGTTTCTCCTTGATTTTTGCAGAGGGTGATGAGGCTTTGTTAGTTTGTTTGCTTTGTGGTTCTTGGGTTTTTGTTGTTTGGGTATTTCCCCCTCCAGTAAATATTAAATCTTCCTGGCTTTCTGGTCTACCTCAAAAGAAACTGGAGATTAGGAGAAAGAAAGCAAACAACTTGAAACAACTTGCTGTATGAGAATCTTCATTTCAGATTTTGTGACAGAAACAGCTCACATTTCAGTTCTTTGGGTATGGGACTGATAAAAACAAAATTCACACTGAACTGAAAAAAATTTCTCACAAGCATACCTAAAGTCAGTATGCTGAAATAATTTTCTTTGGACTAATTTTTATGACATAAAAAAATACTTTCATGGAGCTATTGAACCAATTTTTTTGTCTTTTTGAGCACAGTATTATTATATGGAATTTATATTAAAGAGAGAGAAAAAAAGAGTTAAATTAAATTTACTCCACCAGCCCTCCTTCAATTTGCTATTTCTATGCAATAAAAATTCCAGCCATTACACCAAAGCAAAAATACTCTTTGGATAGGATTCAGTACTAGCGATACCAATGTGTTACGGTAAGAAATAATGTTTAAAAAAGACTTGAACGTTATGATTTATACTTTTCTTTGGGCATTTTTACCTTTTTGCCCAAAGGCAATCTAGTAAACAAATCGGAATTGCATTACTTCCTCCTTTATAATCAAAAAATCATGCTTTGCCTGTAGAACAGTGCCAGGTGTGGGGAGGCTCTTCAGCTGCGTACAGCCGTGGGCAGTTGTGGCGTGCTCCCAAGCCTTGGTGCAGCATGTGACCAGCAGCTGGCTGTGCCACTGCAGTCTGCTGGGAATTCCATGTGCCCAGTGGTGAGACAAAGGCAGCCAGAAGGGGAAACAAGAGGTCAGTGCTGCAAGGCCTCTCTGGGACCCATTTCACACCCCGTGAAGCCTCTTACCACAGCAGAGCAGCAGCAATAATTGAGAGCCACTATTGCCTCGTACACACGAGCTGCTCACACTCATGTGGTGGGACATGTAGACCCACAGTGATACAAAGAAGCTGCCACAGCACAGCAGGCAATTAAAAGCAAATTTCTTTACTGTCTCACATTTATTTAAAACCTTTCGTATTTTTGCAGCACATTTTTCCTCCAGAGCCTCAAGCAGTACCCTGTTAAGACACAAATTATTTTTGCTCACTTGCATACACCCAGAATACTTGTTTTACCATCCACTCTCCTCTGACCTGCTTCTAAGCTTCTAATTGACCTCAGGGTCAAGAGCTTCATCCTTACTTTGGTTCTCCCAACAGCTGTGAAATAGCAAGAAACAGAGCAAATGGGCAATCACTCGTGCCACACATCCTGCAATTGCTCGCTCCCCACAAATTATACCAACATTGGTGCTGTACAGTAAATTGGAACATGTCAAAACCCTCAAAACCCTGTAAAGCTGGGAAATAGAGAGATATTTAACCTTACTGACTTGAATAATTTTTGTATTTTATTTTTAAGGCATATGTTATTAAATATAAATTTTGTTTTAATCTCACACAATTTCATATAAAGTGATATATGAAGACAGGAAAAACTCACAAATACATTTGCTGACCTAATCAAACCTTGCTTGGAAGCTAACTTGCCAAAGGAGATGCCCTGCTGGCAAAGCCTCTTGAGTTTAATGACACATTGCCAATCCGTTTAAGGCCAAAGCTGAACCATCTCTAAACAGGTGTTGAATTGTGATCATGGATTAAAAGAAAACCTGAGGAAAAAATGCCAAGAAATTAAACACCTCTGGGTCACTAGTTTGAATCTATTCCAGACTACTAAATCTGCTACAGTAATTACCATCTGGTAGTCTACATAAAAATAAATTACTAGCTTCTTTGTTTTAATTCACTTTGTGCTACACAAAGGTCTTTATAAACACAAGTTTCAATTGTAATTGAAAGCTTTGTTGATAATCTCACTAGGTTATATCCAGTGCAACTATGCACTGAGCTCAAACTGGCTTCTCATTACTGGTGAGCCACGAGCTCTCTGCGAGGGTGTGTGCTCTACACCTACAGGATTACAACAGAAGAAGGAAACTTTACTTTCTTAACAAGAAACAAACAAAAATGCTTTCTGCTCCATTACCCTCAGGACAACAGCAGGCTCACAAATCAGCCGGTGTAAAAATAAAGACATTCACTGCTAAACTTCTCCACATCAGTGTGGAGGTAAAGTTGACAGGACCACTAAGAAACGTGCCTATCTTCTGTTTTCTGAAGGAAAAAAATTGTGTAGAATAATAAGAAGTGGTCTTTTCAAAAAGACCACTTTTCTTAAGTTGCATGTCCAGACAGCCAAAAAAACCCCACCATTCAGCTGCTTTTGGAATAAACTCCAATTTACTTATGGCAGCTCTCCCTCAAAACGTAAGTACACTTCACACTACTGACTGTTCTGTATTATTTACACAATTTGAACTGAAATTCTTGCACACTATATGCAGCTAGTTTATTTCATTCTAAGAAGAAATTTTAGTTTCAATAAGCATTTTAATTGAGTTTTTAGGGGTTCTTTCCTCCCCCTTTTTTTTTAAATACATTGCCTTTTTCGAGGTCATTCTTATGAAAGCATTAACTAAAATGGCCTTAGAAACGATTTTCATTCTTTTTAGATTTTTTTCTTATCCTACATTATAAGAATTAAACTTGGTAATAGGCAATGTAATTTACACTCCACTTAATGTTTCCTTCACAGCACACATATTTGATTTATGATACATTTTATGTATTTTTCTCCTTTTGCTTCTTCAAAGAACCTTGAAAATGCTGTTTTCACTCCTTAAATTTAACTAAATTCAATGTATGGATATAAAAATCTAGGCAGTTTCTCTCAAAATACAATTGTCAACAGTTTAAAAAACCTGCTCATTTTCTTAGTTTCTCTCATCCTCCCCTCACACATTTTTCTTCCAATTTCTTGACATAAAATGCAGGCTACAATAAAATGGCATAGGCCATCACAAGGGCATGCAAACAAAGCATTTTTCTTCAGTGAAGGCCCACCTTAATTATTTTAAGTGCCTCCTTCTGAAATCTGACATTTTGAAGGAGGAAGGGAAGTAGGAGAAAGACACTCAATTGGATAAATGAGAGCCAGGCATGAGCAGAAGCTCAGCAACCTGAATCCTCAGACACAGCTGTTGCAAGAAGAATATTCACATTAACTAATAGGGGAGAGATGGATGCTAGGTAAAAAAAAAAATCAATATAAGAAGGGCTAAAAAGTTTTATTTGTTGCTATTGTTTTTATGCTGTTATGTTTGATTAGTTTGGGGGTTTTTTAGTGAAGTCTCCTCTGAGGAAGAACTTGTGTCTATTACAGGCATGTGCTTCTGTTTTGTTTTACTGGCAGGGCTTTGAAAAACACAGTGCAGAGCAACATTCAGTTATAAGCATTGCTAACTCTTCCCCTTTCCTGTCCCAAATATGGTTCCATTATATATGGATGCATTTTTAGAAGTTCAACTACAATTGGATTTGTTGCAGCTGAACTACGGATTTTGAAAACTATTTGTTGGCTCTTAAATAACAGGAGAAATAATTTAGATTAAAACAATAAACAACTAAAATGTTAGCATCCATCCTGATGTCAACCACTTGCAGTATGACTTGTAATACTACTCACTATCTGTAGGATCCTTCACCTTCTGCCTTAGTGATTTTATTTTTATTAAAAGCATTAAGTGACCTGAAAGCTCAAGCCTGTGTATTACTGAAGAAAAAAAGCACTCAATTTAAAACAGGACCTTTGTACCAGGGTATAATCTTACACATAACTTTTTGTACAGTACAGTACAGACAACTTTTTGCTCCATGCTAGTCATTAAGGCAGATTTTGCCAAAATGTTAAATATACATCAAAATCAAAAAGAACCCAGAGGTCTCTGTTTCAAGGTAGTTACAACATATGAGGTACCTTTTCATCTGCCATTTCAGTTGGAAAGGTACCGGTATGTTGTAACTACCTGTATGTTGTAACAGCTCCAACTGCTCTTATGCTCTTCAGAAGAGGTGATACTTCTTCAAGTATTGTTAAGTAATAAATAATAAGGCACAATAATTTATTTCAGTCACCTAAGTCCTGAATAGTTTTAAAATTCAAGATTATTTATGATTTGGTGCATTTTAACTCATGTAACTAGCAGGTCACATTAAACAACAGCAAAACAAACCCTGCAGTTAAGCAGCAGTGTCATTTGTATATGGGTCAATTTACTCTAGAACCCCTATCTTTTTCCTTCCTCTTTGCTTCAAAGTCCTCCTGCTCTGAATTCCTCTACAACATGCTTGCCCTGCCACCAAACCCCTGCTTGATGTCTCCAATACTCCAGGAGTTACTGGACAGCTTTTTTTCCCAGTACTATTAATTTAAAGGAATAGGAATCCAAATAAGGGTTAAGTCCTACAAAGCATGAAACATCATTTTGTTGTAATTTTTTTCTGCCAGTTCTGACAGGCATAGGAGCTGCTTTTTGAACCACAAACCTGAAACCTGTTATACTGTTATAACACTATCTTAATATCATAAACATTATAAGAAGCCGTAAGATCTAATTTTCAATTATTCACTATTCTTACTATATTTGTGTGTGATTTTTAAAAATTTTCCAATTAAAGCAAAAGGGAAAGTACTATAATTATGAGTAAAGTTTAAAAATGCAGCAACAAAGTTTGCTGATCCTAATTATTTTCTATCTGACTCACCTTGATGAGGAATGAACATCAAAGCTTAAATTTGGACACAACAGTTGATTAAGCATAATCAACTTGCTTTACAAACTTGTAAAAATAAAGGGGTTTTTTTAATAAAACAGCTCCAAAGTTCCAATCAAAATTTTAAGAGAGAAAGAGATTAACTTTGGCTCTATTTGCAGGAAAAGTTAAAGGCTATAAAAATGGATTCTGGAAGATCAGGCATTATTGTATTTATAACTTTTACAAGGGTTTAAATAAGAGAGTAGGAATTATAACGATAGTCTTTTTCTAGCTTGAACAGAGACAAAACCCAAATATTGATGCCATTTTTACTACTTATACTTTCAAAACAACACTCAGTATTTCTGTAAACCAAAGAAAAATCCATCTCACATTGCCTGATCCATATTACCAGTGACAAAGGTATTAAAACAAAATACTGTATTTAAGGAAGATGCAAAGAAAGAGCAGGTGATAATAAAAAAGTTATTCTGGTAACTAATCTGACAATACTTCCACTGGTTGAATGCCAGCTAGATTTTACAGTTGATAGTATTAGATTAAAACACAATAACTATGAGCAAGCCTGCCACATTGATGTTTCTAAATTACAACCATACCATTGTTATTGTACTTCAGCATTTTCAGGTATCAGGTATCCAGTGAATTAAAGAAAGGAACTCCATCATAAAAAGTAATTTCACTGTTACCCCAATTTTAAATGGCACATTAAAATTTGCTATGAAAGTACAGCATTTGCTGATTTGAGATTAAAGTATTTTTGTTAACATCACTTAAACATTGGTATTTCTAATTAGATGAATATACATCCATCTCCCTCACCCCCTCCCATAATTTACTCTTGCAATTTTGCCTAACAGAAACTGCTTCCCTAGCTCATTAAGATCAATATGCATTTAAAATACATTCGTATTTCCATGAACTTTTGATATCAAATTTGCCTCCAAAGAGTAATTTCTTTACATATATGTATGTATATATATGCTATGTGTTTGAGCCCAAAAAATTAGTTAAGAACAAGTGCTACACATCTGATTATGCATAATAACACCATCAAGGAAAATTAAGTAACAGAATTTAACATCATTACTATTACCTGGAATAACTGAGGTAAAGCTTTCACTGTGAGACAGAACCATATTCCCAGCTTGCATGGAAGTAAGTCATGCCATTGTGGTTTGTCCAGTACCCTGCAGTCAAATAAAATTGTAGGTTTTTCATTATTGCCACACAATCTCAAAGCCAGAACTTTCTCATTATCCTTTAAGATGATTAGCACTCGTCAACTCCCATAAAAACGTCTGACTACATAATAATAACGACACATTTTAAACATTTAATTCAAAATATCTAACAGCTAACTTCTAATAATTTCTGTATTTTGATCTTCTAAAAGGACTTTTCTTCAAGAAAATAAATTCATAAGCCACATAATCACTTTAGTTTAAATAAAAAACCAAACCAAAAAACCACTCAAGCTTCAACCAAGTGTTCACAAGTGCTGACAACCAGATATGAAGACTGTAGCATAAACAAAACAATACATAAAAATTAATGTCATTTGCAGTTCACTGGAGCATTACTCACTGATGTCATCAAGAAAGACGACAGGCAGAATGGTCTCTGATCTCCATTCCTCATTGATCCAGTTCATGCCCCTGCTGTGTGAACTATTTAAACCCTTTATTTCTTTCTATGAATCAATAGAAGAAATAGTGGTATCTTTTGGAGTGTCCTGAAAGTCACTATTTCCTTATGTGTTCCTTGACAAACAATGTGTTAGAAGCCTTTACCAACACACTCATTTTTAAGTTAATCAGATAAAAAGCATTTAATCAGACAAGCATTAAAACCACATAAGAACTCCTTACTTGGAACAGAAAAAAACGGAAGCTCAAATCAATTGAAATTTGTTAACTGTAATCAAAGGCAAAAACCCTTAAAGAGGAAAAAAGTTCTAAAATCTCCTAAAATCAACTTGTAAAAATAATAACCTTTTATAAGACAAAAGACTTTAATTCAATCTTTCAATGATTACTGATCTGCTGAATAAACACCACGTGCTTATTTATCCAAACCTGAAAACACATCTACACTGGCACACTTTATATCAGCAATGGCTGTACTACAAATACAATTGTTTTTCTCACAGAGTCTTTCAAAGATGTAAAAAGAAAATAAGAGAAGTGAATCAGTAGTGAACAGAATGTTTTAAAATGCACAAAACAAGAGAGTTCTTTCCCACCTTTCATTTTTGTCTAGAGCAGCAAGTTTGGCTTCATCTGTACTCCTGCTGCCTGTTTTTTTCTTCTTTTCCCTCTTTTTTCTGCTAAGCAGTTCATCCTTGATGTAGAAAGAACTACGGTTACAGGTTATCATTAGCATGTAAACCACAAATGTTACTGGGACTCTTCTGTGAAGGGTAAACACTAGAGTAGCATTTATGCAAATGTATCTGGGGTCCTACATGATTAAGTAAAATGATCTATCTTAACAATAACTGTTGCCATGGTATCCAGTCTTTAAACACACATGAAGTCCAGTTCTGTCACTCATGTGTATCTCCATAGCAATCAAAGTTTTCTAAGAGGAGAAAGCATTCAACTTGCCTCCTTTCTCATTCATCAACTTCAATAATGCAGTGGAAAATAAAAAAGTAAATAGATGCTAATGTATGAATATTTTTCAAGTTATGCTTAGTTTTTTTCTTAGTCTACTAAGTGCAACAGACTTTTATATGACAAAAAAAATAAAATTATAAAAATAATGTGATTTATACTGCTCACCAATTCCCACTCTCTTAAGAAAAACCCAAAACAAAAAAGTGTTTATCTTAGAACAAAGGCAAATCAAGTATGACTTTTAAACAAATAAAACCTGTTTATTTTTAAACCTCAGATACGACTACAGCAGCATATGATTCTGCATCAATAAATGATAGACTTTTTGTCTTCTTCCTTCCAGACAAAAACCCAGGACCAGCTCTTGCAATTTATTACTAATTCTAGAAAAATTAAGTAATTTTTAGATTACCATTTCTGAGATAGTGCATATATAATTCTGTAATTATCATCATTTTAAATATAATATTTTTAAAATATGAAAAGTCCAAATTCAAACCAGGGAAAATGGTGGCAGTATCTACCTACAATACACAAACTTCTACAGGAAATTCAGTACTAATAATTGAAGCAAGTTTGATTTATTACCAATACTTACCAGCTGTTTTTCCAGGTAGATTGACCAAACCACAGCATAATGACCCACTGTGAGTATAATGAACAAGAGTAATGCCAGCTCAGCATTGCTCATTTTTCTCACCCGCCTGTAGTAGAACACAGGCTGTCGCCAATCTGGTAGTCCATTGATCAGAATATCATCATACCTACAGTAGCAAACAGAACAGGCTTTCATGGAGAGCTAAAAATGAAATAAGCCAAACCATCCAATTATAAAACAAAAGATAATCCACAGAGTGCTTGAATACCACACACACACAAGATCATTTAGTAATTTATTTTTTTTAGAGAGTAATGCCTTGTTTTGTCAGCAGATAGGCTTGCATGTGGAAACAAACAGGCTCCAAACATTGGGGCAGGAGGAAAAAAATTTCAAACATTCCTGCAACACTTGCCCCCCTTCCCTTCCAAGTTCATTCACTTTTGAAGCAAGAGACTTCCAGAAATGTGTTCTACGTGCTCCATAATCAGTGGGCAGGTCTCCATGATCGAAGTAAGCAACAACCCACTAACAACTAAATAGGTAGCCAAGAACAAACATCTCAAACACTAGAAACCCTTTTTTCTTTTACAAATTAAATGCACAAGTGCTGGGGGGAAGGGAGAGGCACCTCTACTTTTTGTTTTTGTCCTTTAGCAACAGAAAATCCATTAGGTAAAAACATGCCAGACTTATCATACCTTCTTTGTAAGATAAGAGCTTAAATTAGAAGCTTGATATTGATGTTTGAAAACGAAGTTCATCAGTTTTTGATCTTCTATTTGAAACAATCTTCAAAAATCAATCTATTTTAAAACTGTTTAATTACTAACCCTACCAACTGTACAGAAACTATTTTATGACAATCCCTTTTCCTTCACACAATTGTCTAGAAGTATCTTGAAATGTCTGAGGTCTTTTATTTACAGCATTTGAACAATTTAAAAATAAACAAACCACAGACATGCAAACCAGATTTTTTTAAATTAACTTTTTAGAGTAAAGTTTCAAACAAAAATCTCTACAGTAAACTCATAAGTCTGTATGTTCAAGATGCACAACCTGTTAATCTAAAATTGAACACAACTCATTACATATTCTAATCACACCATTTCCAGAATTAAATCTGCACTGAAAGGCCTAATTTGGTGCAACACATTGACCAAAATATTTTAATTAAAAATATTCTGAGTTAGTCGCAGGCCTAATTACAGGAATAGAAATAGGGCCTATATTGTCATGCAGGTCAGTAGAACTCAGTAGTAGGTTTTTCTCAAGTAAATTGACCAATCCAGGAATAATAGCGCAGCTGCTAAACTGCCAGTCTTGACATGTAAATCAATTTAAATGCAACAACTGCACTAGCTACTTTGATAGTTATTAAATTGATACCTTGGAGATGTACTAAAAAAAATATTTCCACAAGCAAATTCATTTTAAGCAGAAAAAGAAGCGGTGATTTTCAATTAAAAAATATACCTTACTACAGTGCATATCTGAAAAGCTAACTTCTGATAAAGCATTTGTTCAAGTTGGCACCATTATGTCTGCATAAAAGGTTTAACGCCTCAGGATTCTGCTGTGTTCTGAATGATACCAGAAGTAAAATTCATATTACAAAATTCTATCTTCCATTAAAACTATGAAAATACTAAGGTTAACATCTATTATTGTAAAATTTGAACTAATAACTTTTTTCCTTTCCCAGTAAAGTTAGAACAAATTAACTACTGACACCTTAATACAAACTCTGTTCAGAAAAATTGCTTATGATGTTATTTTAAAATTGAACTTTCTACTTAACTTCTGTTTAAGAAATAAGTAGATGTTTTAGCCTTTAAAATATTAAGACATTTACAAGATTTTAGTGATAACAGAACAGAATATTTTAGAAATGGAACCATCTTTAAAACAAATTAGGTTGATAACAAGGTTTTACATAAGATGTTCTTCCTTTGAAATCTTCAGAGAAATACATGTACAATCTAATTTAATATACATTTATTAAGCAGTTGCCATCTTATATACTAAGGGTTGTTAATTGATGCACTGAAAAAGAGGCTACTGATTAAATAAAGTCTATATATGCTGATGGTAACAATATAATAATATCTAAACCAAGGTTTCAAACTAACATTTGGCAACCACATTCTATTATAAATTATCTGTTAAGAAAAAATAAATTAAGACAGCAGAGCCTCTTGCATTAAGTGCTTTAAACAGCCCTTGGTATTTACTAGGCTATGTCGCTGTTCTGAACAACAGCCTCCACGGATTAAGGCTCAGAATCAATGCTCTATTGATTTTACTATCAATGAGCATTATGGCTCACACGACTGGCCATTTTAAGGGAAGATAGCTTCTATTATAACCCACTTTTTAGAATATATACTGTTAAAAGATAAATCACTGCTTTCAATAGTAATTAAGCTCTGTATTTGAAAAATAAAGATATCAATGATTTTTAGGTTTTCAACTGGAAAATGATCCTACTGAAACTCAGAAGCTCCCACAATTTTTAAATCTTAATTTTCAAATTTAGAATGTGATTAAATTAAAAGAAAGTTTCTCATTAAAGAATTCCTGTATAAACACTTATATTAACTACGAAAGACAGTTAATCCGTGTGCATCAAGAACTACATTCGGAATTTAATTACAAAGCATTCTTTTGGCAACCTATATTAATTGTAAGTCTATGTAGGGAAAAAAATACGCTGAAAAGAAAAGATACATCTGCAGGGTTTCTTCCACAAACATATGCCCACAGAATACAGCATTTTTTTTACATATGAGTATGCCTACCAGTTGTCTCTGAAATGCAGCAGTCACCAAGCTACAAAAACCCCAAAGCATCAGTACAGAAACAGAAAGCCAAAAACATTCCCCATTTAAAACTATGCTGAGTATTTCTTTTAAAACTCAGCAGTCTATAAAAGACTTGGTAGTCCTGTACTAAAAGTAACAAACTGCAAGATTATTAACAGATTATTAAGATATTTTTTCTATTTTATTTCATAAAATAGTTTTTTAAGTTCTTTGTGAATCAACTACATTGCAAGTAAAAATTCCATTAACTGTAGTAACTAATTGCAGTATCATCAATCTTATTATAATTATAATTTACTTTTCCCTTTAAGAGAGCCACTGCATTTCATATTCCAAATAATTTCAGAGATCTGATATAGTTTATATACTATAACCTTGAATTAATGAGGACTATTCTGAACTATGGAATGATTGCCCTGGTGGTTTTCATTTTGGGAGGCCTATTTTCCTCAAGCTGTCAAAGACATCCAGCACAACATCAGCCAGAACAATTTATACCTATGAATACAGACATTTAATTATTAATGAGAACTAAGATAGACACCTTTCTTACTCTACTCAAGTGTATTTTGATCCCTTTGCAAATGCTTTGTTTCCTGTAATCAAGCCAACATTGTTACAGAGGATAGGTCTGGTAGGTAAAAAAAGCTCCTTAAAAAGGTAACAAACAATGAAATTAAAAAGCTCCTTAAAAAGGTAACAAACAGTGAAATTAAGATCTAAGATTTCTTTTATGCCTAATTACAATTAACCAAAGTACATAAAATGATTATCTTCATTTATGAAAAATAAAAGCCTAATAAAATTCATCACCATCAAATTGATTTATCAACAAATGCCCTAAAGGTGAAGTGTACGGCAGGAAATGCACCCATCTCTACATACCCTAAAGATAAAATTTTCTGTAGCATTTCACACTGCAGCGTGTATACAAAACATAAAATATTGTGTTCTACTGCATGTATGCTTAATTTAATGTTAAACAGCACTACATTAAATGATGCTGCATGTATATTTATTGTCAGAATATTTGAATGTTTTGATCATGTTTCACTCAAGAGTGTGTAGGACAGAAGTCCTAACATAGTAGTATTACCATATTGTGTAGTACTACTAATGATACTGCTATACTTCATGAGCAACTACATAACTTTCTCAAAAAAGAAAAACATGTTTTAAAGCTCAGTCATACCACTGTCAGTAGAATAACTGTAATATTTTAAGAAAGGCTTCTGCCATCAGATAAAATAAAAATTCTGATAAGAAAATGCAAAGGCTTTAGAAAAATAATTACACGTAGCTGGCCAACAGATCTGCCTTTTTAAAACGCTGTTTCTGTGTTCACACAAATGAACAACACCTCTGACATTCACCAAGAATGACATTCACGGAGAAGGGGTTTTATTGTTTCAAAATGAGTTCATCACTCTCTCATATAGTGCAGGACCTTATTCCTGCCTCTGCTGGCTCCACTCTCTGTACACACACCAGGAATGATTGCAACACTTTGGAGAGGAACAGTAAGAGCCAGGTTCAGCTGACTTCACTGCACAGAAGCAGAAGCCTGCAGCTTGCTCTTCTCTCGGTGCTGTAAACCCCTGCCCAATCCATTCAGGTGCTGTGAAGGGATTGCCACTCCACTCCCACTCAAGGCTGCAGTGGTTTCTGCCCAGTGCAGGGCACTGAGTCAGCTTTGAGCCTATTTCACTCTGTCCATTGCCTCAAACAATTCAAAGCCAAATATCAACATTTAAAATAGAAAGATTCTAAGAAGTAGTACTCCCAGCCTTTCCTTGGCTGTACAGCTGCAAGCAAGGCTCGAGTTACCTTACAACAGAACCAACACAACAGGGAGAGCAGCTCCTATCACACTTACTGAAGACTTGTATTAGAAACGTGCTGCAACAACGCCTTACAGGCCACCCTCCATTTACGAGCTCAGCTGAGAGATTATCATTACACTGTGCAATAAACCTGATCAATACAGGGCTTTTCAAAGCAATGAGACCATACAGCTCTGCTCTACAGGTTATTTCTAAAATCTGCATATTATTTCCAGAAAATTCTCTGAAAGTAAACACTGTTTAATCCACCACATTTCTATAAATTCAACTATAAAATCAGTATCAACCATGCATCCACATTGTGCAAGAAAAATAGGACATTGTCTATGGACAAAATAAGTTTTAAATCAATCTAAGACAGAACAATCTACTGCTGCTTGAACTTCTCATTTAATCACTGATGCAATAATTAAGAATATTTGAGTAAGTCAGTCACCTTTGTAACGTATGCAAGGCTTAAGCCATAGTTTTTCTAAGTTACTGCATCACAGCTTTGTGCAAAAAGCTGCTATTACAGCTGCAAGGAAATTCCTACAAGTTCCATGATGGAACTAAGTTTCAGAGAAACAACACTCTGAAGTGTATGCAAACAATGCTGCTAACACAAAGTTGGGAAGATCTGGGGGATAATTCACTTTAACCAGCCTGAAATCATTTAGCTAACATTTTTTAAACTTTTGTTAAGTGTAACTTCACAATTAAATTCTCTTTAGAAGGATGAAATAAAAAACCCCACAAATTTCCAAAACTGCTTCTGTGAAGTACATTTTCATGACACTTGAAAAGGGGATTATCAAAAAAGTAGATAATCTGTACTATAAACCCTGGACTCCTGCCAAGACATCTACAAAGCCAAAATCCCTTCAAGAAATGTCTCATAAAACCCCGTTTAAAGACTTGTAAGCTGAAAGATGATCTACTAAAACACCAACCAAAAAGCAAAAGTCTTTCAGTGTCTCAGGTTTTCTGATAATCATTGGTTGAAATTCCTATTTGTTTAAAAACAGAAAAAAAAGTTGAAAATAATCTTCCAGAAAGCAAATTAGCCCCAGATTTCCAGTTCTTTATCCTACCCTTCAGGTACTGCTGGGACTGCTCCTGAAGCAGCAAGGACAACTAGTATTTATTTTAAAAATATTTAAAAGTTTCCGCTATTAGAGATAATACATTTGAAAGAAAAAAACCCCCTATGAACTAAGCAACAGAAACAATGCTGAAGACAACATACAATGGAAATAGTTCCTAAATATCATGCAACAAGCCTTCTACTGATACAAGGAGGTATTACTGACATTTGAATAAATGGCCAATATTTTTTAATCACAGTTTTTAAAAATTGACAACTGAGCAAAAAAGCTGATATAGTTAAGTATTTTTTAAATTTGCTTGAAATAACAGTTAGCTTTCCAAGTTCTTTCAAGTATTAATTTTAAACGAGAAAAAACATTATTTCATGCAAAAACACCACTTTGCCCTTTAAGCCATATACAATCTTTAATTAAACAATTACATAGATTTTACTAACTGAAATTATGCAAAAGAATGATCTGTAGTGTTACAACTAAGTCAAACAGGGCTTGAATATAGCATTGGTATGAATGCTTTATTTAAAAACCTGTGCAATTTAACTCACCTCTGCCTCCTTTCTTCATCCTTTAAAACCTCATAGATGGCCACCAACTAAAACAAGCAAAACACCAAAAAAGAAAACACAAAGATTTTACTTTATGACTGAATTTTAAAATTTTGAACAATAGCATCATTTTTACATTTGCCAACAAATAACCTTTGCTAGTTTTCATTTTTCCCTACACCACTAAGTAGCAAGCCCAGCGTGCAAAAGAAGCAGTAATATATGCATATACAAATGTCATCAGACACAAACAAGCAACTCTTATACAAGACTTTCTTCCCATCCTCACACCTGTCAAACTGACACACCTTGTCTCAGGCAGAAGATCCTGAAAATCTTACTAAAATCAAGTAAGGTGAATTCCCAAGGTACATTTTCAAAGGTAGAGCTAATTAAAAATTCATGTTATTTCACTCTACAAATATTCAAAAATAAATAAAATTAATTATTTTCATTAAATTATCCCTATCTAGGACTTGTGTTGAGAACTGATCAGAAATTTTCCCCACTGCTTTTGGAAGTGCAAAACATATTAACCTATTAAGACTACAAGCATTATGTTCAAATAATTTTTAATATACAGATAAATATGAAATACAAGTTATTGAACAAGTTAATTCCAAAAAAGTGTACTTGGTTTTAGTCTAGTTATATCAGCAAAACTGTAATGTAATGTTTAACTTACTAATTTCAAAGGTGTGCCACTGTTCTTACTAAAACAACATCAACAAAAAAATTCTATTTTCCCCTAGAAGCTTTACTGCCACACATTTTACTTACTTGCCTAAACTGTATTTCTGCATTTTCATCTTTATTTTTGTCTGGGTGTAGAATTAGAGAAAGCTTTCGATATGCTTTCCGAATGTCTGCAGATGAAGCATCCTGAAAAGGAGGAGAACAAAGCAAATTGTGAGAAACCGATTCCCTGAACTTTTTGAAGATCTGTAGACAGCCAAACAAGTGTAGGAACTAAGGCAATGTAATTTGAGACATCTAACAACCAAACCTGCAACCAGCCCAGCCTAAATGACTTAACAGCCATTCAGTCCAATTCATCTTTCATCTTAACTCCTTTCATTACCATACATCCATTACAACGACATTTGCCAACACTTGCAAACACTTTCTTGCTTAAAACCTAGCCCAGGCACCTTCTGCACCATTTAAAAGTTCAACTGAAAACTGGAAATTATTGCATCTGCATATCTTCAAGACAGACATAATTTCAGCAAATTATCATGCTCAATTTCCCAAACTCAGGACTTGCTAGGAACTCTTCCCTTATTAATATTTACATGCAATTCACTCCTAATAGGACTTCCATTCAACTTCAGCTTCACCATGTCTACAGAATTGTATTTTTCTAAAGTAGCTTCAAATTGCAGTCTTGGAGCTATACTGTAGCACTGACATCCATCTATACCTTAACCATTATAAGAATTGCACGCATTTTGGGAGAAAAAATAAAATGAAACAAAATGATGTACCAACTAAGCTGCACAAATGCAAATTTCTGAATAATGACTGCTATTTAATACATGCTGCAGAGATATCCAGAAATGAAGGTATCAAGAGTTGTATTCTCTGTCATAAAGGTGTTATCCTTACCAGAAGATACACAAAGCATAACATTTAAACAGAACTACTTGCATTTTACTGCTAACATGTCCAAGGCAACACTTTAGAAATCAACTGCTTATCTGACAATTTTTATTTCTTGATTTTATTTATATTGTTCCTAAGTATATTCTCTCTCTCAAAATTACAGTGTAAACAGGGATTAAAAACCCAGACCTGAATTAGCTACAGAACAGAGTGAAATAAGATAATAATTAATGCAATACTGTAATTAGTCCGTTAGGCTTTTTATTACAGATCATTACTTTAATTTTAAAATTTTTGGTTTTATAACATATGGCTATTAAAATGCTGTGTACAAGTTTGGACCCAGAGTGAATAATAGAAAAAGACTGAACTAGTGGAAGGAGAAAAGCAGAGGAAAATGCAGAATTTGTGAAACTACAGCATGGAAACTATATTTTAAGGAAGTTCACATTTTCCCCTAATAAAAGACTGAAGTTTCCATAGTCTCTCCTCTGTCAAAGGAAAATGTTTCTATTATTGAAGGAAGATTTCTCCTGAAAATACCACACATCCATTTTTAAATTTTTCCATTTTCAACAGCTACTTCTAAGGCATTTGCACACCGAAGCAGAATTCCTCAGCTCAAACAGCAGCTTGCTTCCAGCTTGATTACTGCCAATGAGTTGTTTCATATTGCCATTGTTTCACAGGCTTATTTTTAACTCTCAGCTAGCGGGAAGGAAGAGACAGTGATTAAATATCTATTCTAAGCTCAAAGAAACATTAAATCCTTGAGATGTGGCCTTAAAAGAATTATATGAAATACATGTGAAAATGAGATGTAAAAGTATCTTTTAAAAATTAGGGATTGAGACTATGATATCCTTGACAAATGAGTACCTCTAGATTTGTATTTTGGATAAACTACAACTTACTCCTTCTTTACCATACTTTTAGATGTGCAGCATATTATTTTTGGAGCACTCATGATTAAGAACTCAAGACTATGCTCTATCAGTTAAAAAGCTAATAAAACATATTAAAAGGTGTGTTGCAATATTTTTCCAATTATTTCAAACAACAAACAAGCAAAAAAGAAGTGTTTTCAGTCTGTTTACAGTAGCTGAAGAATTGAAACTTGAGTTTTATTTGGGATTATTTATGTAAGAGATCAAAATAAAAGGTAGTTTATCTGTTCAATGCTTAAGCAAAGCAAAAGATCCCAAGACAACTGTGAAATTATCAAGTTGCTAAAATATTTATGTTGTTTCATCTTCAGAAGTTGAAATAAATGTATAAACTTACAAACTTATAAACTTACAAAACCAGATTGTTCACCTTAGTTACCAGAAATAATGTAGAGATTTTCTTGTTTCTCCTCATCTACAAACCCAGTCAGCCACTTCACAAACAACAAGGGCTTGTCTTCAAACAAAATATAATTATTTAAACACTACTATAGCAAATAAAACACCAGGAAATAGTTTACTGGCCATGGTTTTATCTAAACCATGAAAGTGATCTTTATTAACATATCAGCTTATTGTAATTAAGCCTCTAAAAGGTGGAAGAGTGTATTATAATATCAACAAATAACCAAAGAATGGGATATTATTGCCAATTATTTCACAACAACGGGCACATATTAATTTCTAAAGCAGCACCTCTGCTTGCTCACCCATTCTCCACAATACCCCCACACACAACACAGAGGACCGTTGTATATTCCAAACATTTTGCCAATGAATGCTACCTACAGGGACTGTTAGACATCCTCAGGCACTGTTCCAGATCCTCTAGGACCTGCCCTGAACAGAAGTAGTTGGTTTTTGAGAAAAGACTCTCATCTCTACAGAACTTCCTACCAGTGTATGATTCTAAATAAGCTCTAAAGAATGATTCTTTCCAACCAATAAAGAAACACCCCCCACACAGAAGTCAGCTGCTCTAGGAGACCTGACTGCTGGCCACGTTCAGTCACACTTCCATAATAGCTAAGGCTTTTAAATAAAGAGTCAGTGTTCTCTGCAGACTAAGACATTATTTTACATATTACTTCTATTATTAGAAGTCTAGAGACTAGAGAAAGCCATGACAACACTAAGGTTTTGCTTGTTTTAAAGAAACTACAGGTTAGATTGTTTTGTTTACTAGAGAAATCTCAATCTCATTTACATCTAAGGAGGGAAAAGTAAAACCTGTATGGCATCTCAGTTAACAGCAGAAGGAGCTGGTAATGTCACAGGCAGCAAGTGCTGCTGACTCACTGATTTCTCCAACACTGCTTCAGGTTTGCAAGTTTTGCCACCAGTTGTTGCAAAGGAACCTGTCACACTGTCACCCTCAGCTGGATACAAACATCACAAGTATCACCTTACTTCCTGATAAATATCCTTCCAAAGCAATATTGTCCCATCATATTTCCAAGGTTGGACACCTCTTTGTTTTGTGCTGGAATTGGTTCTCAGAAATACAAAACTGCAAGTCTACATTTAGGTAGGCCATAGTCTGGCTTCTTATGCATGGTGATATGCAAGTATTCATTTTTTAATGCCCAACACTTCATCAAACAGAATGTCTGTGCACCTAGTTAAATGATCTCTAGGAAGAACTTAAAAGTTAGATCTTGTACATTTTTTTTTATAATCCCTTACATTTCAGACAAGTATTTTAGCACAGAAACAAAATTAACATTTAAATAAATCAACAGAATGTCAAAAGTTAAACACATTTCTTAAGGTTCTCTGCTGGACTTTCACATTTTTGTCTAAAGGGCAATGCATGTCAGATTCAAAGAGTGGGACAGAAGAAACATTCTTCTCCCTGTTTATGATGTATTTTTGGCAGCTTGTTGAATTCTGACAATGAAAAACACATTACTAAATTTCATTTTACTCAGCATCATGTCCATATTCTCTAGTATTACCAAGGAAAGTTCTCTCATACTACAAATATATAAGTAGGAACACCGAAAGGAATTTTTCACAACAAAAATTAATAAAATATACAAATGCACATTTGCTTTCCATTCTTTTAAAATTAAATTCCTGCTCAAGATGCACAAAGTTTTAAATCTGGTCTCCTCCTCTCCCTATACAAATTCAGAGTCCCACAGAGTTCATGTCCACCTTTACAATAAATCAAACAACTGGTGTAGTACACAGTACAAGCACATTACTCCATTGCCTTCCATTCCTAATGTAACTATGATTACTAATGAAGCTAAAAAAAAGCCTCATTGTGTTCCCAAGACAATTCTTGGTGAACACATAACATATCAGATATTGCCATAGGCAAACAGTGATTAGGTCAAGGGGAAAAAATAATCAATGTCTACATAGTTTTCACTTACCAACATACACAATTCAAAACCTAAATTGTTCCCTTGAGTGCAATGCAGTTATACAACAAGACTTAGTTACTCACAATTTAGCAACTGCTTCTAACACGTAAATGTGTTCAATTCATCTTGGGTTTTAAATATGTCTGCCAATGTCCTCAAATAGGTGGCAGTATCTTTATTAGCAATAGGAAGGCACATGGTCCCAGAACCAACTATGCAGATAGAAATCACATTTCTATTCACTTGCAGTTTGTCCAATCACTAGTTAATGGGCAAGAGGAAAATGACATCAGTATATCTATTTCATTGCACTGCTGCTGATGACTGCGTAGAATTTTCCACAGCCATGTTCCTGAAGCAATATGACAAAAAGTGACAACTGTATAGAGCACCAGCATTTCAAGTCTGAACTTGTTACTAACATCAGTGCAGGCAAGCTTTCATGAGGCCTTTTGCAGCCTTCCCAAACTATAAATCAAACCTATGAAACTTTTGTGTTTGGATTTTCTAATTTTCTTTTTTTTTTAATTCTAGAGCAATTCAAATGTATTGGGTTTCTTTGATAAAAATATTTCATTCAGTACTTCTGTGTAGAAGAGAGGGTGTAAGTCACTACTCTCCTTCTGGTGAGCATCAGCCAACAAGCTGAAGCAGAACAGTAGGAAACAAAGTAAGCTTTGCAAATTTACAATCACCTGTTTTTCTACTATGATTTCAAACCACAGGATGTACGGCCTGTCCCACAAAACTCACAAAGAAGCAGGCACAGATAACTGGACAGAAGCTACCACTGTCTATTAAACATTGTGTCAACACTGATACTATCTATTTGTTTGTCTTCATGTGAAGTCCACAGAAAACAAATATCCCTAAGTGTCAGAGAACAAACAAACATGACTGTAGGTCAACGATTAAATATCCACTGTCCTCATTCCTTAAGCAGCGTCAAGGAGCT